AGGTTCTCACGGCTGCGAGTATGAAGATAACTGTTTCATGAGTTGTAGGGCTGTGTTGTCTGGTAGAAGTTCACCGATGTTTCGGAGGTGCTTTCTGCTTCCATCATCAATATGCGAAATTTATACCACGCAGCTACTGGAGATACATATAGTTATCAGCTCGCAGATAACAAGAATGCCATGGGTCTTTAAATTTCAAAGCCTGGTATCGTGGCTTCGAATCTCACAAGAGGCTCAGACAGGGCTGCTTCTCCGCGTTTCACTATCCTGTGTAGGCAGGGGCTTTCGGTTTGCTGGTTCCTCGCCCAAGGAGTCTTACGAAACGTCTGTACAAGTTCGAAAAAGTAGCAGAATGTATTAAAAAGCCAAAGGTCAGCGCGAGATATATCGCATAAATAACATGTGCACAAATTAACTCATAATAATTGCCTCTTAATCACAAGTTGTTGTTTTTCTAATTGGTGCATTCTGCTTTGGAACAATGGATCAAACATCTTAAGGTGGAGCGATAAAAATAAACAGAACGAATGAAGGTAATTCTTCACACACAGCACAGCCAAAACTAGATGTGGCAAATATTTCTGCGTAAAACACGACCAGTGTCCTTCTTACTTAGGAAAGTACGAAACTTGAACGATGCACTGGTTACCAGTTAATAGCCAGATTTGTATTTATAAACGTTAAACTTCAGTAAATATTTTCTTTTCAGCCCTATTTTATAGTATTTGTTATCGAACTTTGTGCTTCAAGGTCACAGAAGGATTTTACCTCCACGCCACAGCCTCCTTGCTATTATCCTTACTCTTAGGTCCGAATAATCTCTTCAGTGACCTACTCACAGACACTACTTTGGCGTGCTACTAAATTCAAGGTGACAAAATAAATTAGGCCTTATTAAAATATAAACAGGTCATTAAGAGAAGTCCGCGAGCCGCTAACTGCTCGCGAGCCGCAGACTGGTTAGACCAGATTTTAAACAAATGAGTGTCATATACGGCATTACGAAATGCCATTATGAATTTATGTGTCCAGGTACGACGCGTTCGAGGCAATTAGCCTTTGTTAGAACTTCATCATTACATTGGCATTCCGCAGGATAACAGACGGGGAAACCATTGGGCTTAGCCGCAAAATATAATGAGGACTTATTTGGTGAGTGCTTCACAAACAAACATGTTACACATATTTAACAACCCTGCGCCTCGCATGTTTGCATTAAATGCCAATTATTATTGGCATTTCATTTCATTTCATAGGGCACGCTCAACAACCAAAGCCTAACAATAAAACTCCGATAATACTCCATTTACACTCGTCTGCCACAGTCCATAGTTTAATCCTATCATATGGATTAGCCTGCTAAGGGATTTAAAACTGTTTTAATAACTATGCATCATTCCAAAGCAGGCGCCTAACTTTTACGTAGTCCCATGCCGTAACAATGTAATTTGTTCATTTCATTGGTCACAATCTCCCCCAATTAAATACGGATTTGCATTAATAACTGATATTACAAATACTCTGTCACGAAATAGGCCTATAGGCGCGCAATGTACAGGCCTATTATCAAGACTTTTTTATTATAACAGATTTAACTGTATGAAGAGTGTAATTAGCGTTTTAAAAATGAATTATTATAAAATTTAAACTGCGGTATCATGGCATTGAAGATTAAAAAGTTGGGATCACATTCGTTATATTGATTTTAATTTCCAACTAAAATTACGCGCAGATTAGCTGTTCTGTCCTCTTTTGTACTCCTCTACGAAGACTCAGACAGAATTATGGCTTCAAAGCTGTTTCCAAACTAGTAAATTAACAAACTGTATTAAGTATTTTCTTCCTCTATTTCTGGAGAATAAATAAATACAATACCAAAGAATAGATTACACACAATAAACGATAAAAAATAAAATTCTTAATGACATTGACATAATTGAAATAAACATAGATCCATACGGCTTTTTCCTTCCTATGGATCACAACTGCGTATAACTGCATAGAATAACAGAAGGAACGCAGAAACTGAAATGATTTTTTCTGACAGTCTCAACTTTTCAGTGGCCAAAAATAGCAGCTGCTTGATTTTGGACCACTGAAAGAGTTTACTGATCTATTACGAATCTTCAATCAATAAAGGAGACGTTTATTTATTTCAGAATTAATTCGGAATAGGCCAGAGAAAAAGGTCAAAGAGGTGAAGAGCGAATATGCTTAAATGCAACAGCTACTCGATGATTAACCTTAAACGACTTCACTGAACCTGTGAATCAAAATGGCAATGCGTTTCTTGTATATACCAGGTGAAGGCAACCGCATAGAATGAACACCCGCCATTAATCAGTGACGAGTGCTATCAATTCTACAACAACAGCATCATCAGAAATCTTATTCAGGCAATAAGAGACTCGTGTGTATGTATATAATACTGTGTTAAGTGAGAAACGAAGCCATTGATGGTCCTTAAAGACGGAATAGACTCTCCAGTCAGAAGACTGCGACGGCAGACTTGATGGCCCTTGGCCTACTCCCGCACAGAGCGAGAGGTTTTGCTTCGCAGGTACACTCAACTACAGACGACGTTACACGGTTCTGCCTAAGCCAATCGCACTGTAGAAGTCGAACGCACTATCGATCGATCGATCAATCGATAGATGGCAAAATTCAATCTCGCAGCTGTCGAATGTCAAATCTATTATAGAAGACTGCCTTCTGAGATTATGTACCGTGTAGTCTGGTAGATGTTTAACGACGTTGCAGAGGTTTTTCCTGTATCAGGGCCATCGCCCTGATGATGGAGGCAGTAAGTAAAAAAATATCGTAAAATACCTGACTTGAATATTTGACAAAAGAGACTACTCGAAAGACCTAGGCGTAGATAGGAGGATAATATTAAAGTCGCTCTTAGAGAAATTGTTTTGTAGGTTTGGATTGGATTCATACAGCTTAGGATAAGGACTGGTAACGAGTTTTTGTGAATATGGTAACACGCCTCCAGGTTTAATGAATTGGCAGACGCACAGGACAGAAAGTGTCTAAAAAGCATGGTTTCGCTTAAAAAGAAAACACTTAAAAATACAGTACGCGACTGTAATCTTGAGAATTGCAAGGAATGCAGGAAGTCCGAAGCGTTAAAGGCAGACGCTATCTTGCCTCCTTCACCCCATTTCCTCACCCCGCAAGTCTCAAGATTACAGTCGCGGACTGTACATGTGTGTAGAAGAGTTTCGGCAGCGTGGGTGAACACAGGAGACATGGTCCTTGGTCTAGACTTGTAGGTCTACACGTGTCCTGACGGTAGATCCTACTTGGACTGTACAACTCCTTGCAGCGGGGAAAATGTTAAGAGTCGGTTTATATAAACAGCGGTTGGTGTCGGCCTTAGAGTGGCGTTGGCTGACCGCTCTCCGAGAGCCATTCAGTTCCTGTGCATTAAAACGCGGCGTGCGACGTTTAAGGAGACGCTTTGATACGTCTTTAATGAAGGAGCGCTGTAATGAAGTGTTTCCTTTTTCAGATGTTTCATTTCACGTCTCGTGGTGAAGTTGAAGAGGACCGCTAATCAAAAACCTGTCTTAGTGTAGTCTAAATGTGGTTGGAAACATCAGCTCTTAACGAAAAATAAACTTTAATTTTAAGCAGTGCTAAAACATAAAATAAAATTGCCTTCCTTAGCCCAAATGTGTCCATGCATAGGCCAAACGGTCACAAATCTGCTTTGTTATCAACACGTCAAAGAAGCTGACTTAAGAAGGACAATGTTATTGCGATCGTATTTTTAATTTGAACTGGACTAAGTAGTGCCTTACAATGGTTTTGTAAGCAAATCGGAAATAAGCCAGCGCTTGATTGCTTAAAAGAGACCCTTAAATTTTGCTCCCTTCAAGAGTGTGGCGTGTCTTATCGTCAGAATGCGTGACTTTCCACCTGTAATTTGCAAATCAACCGTGAAGCCTTTAACAGAATTCGTTCGCCTTTCAGGGGAAAAAACCTGATTTTTAACTCCACTACGGAGGATTCTTATTTCCTAAGAAATTTTATCGCGGAGATTTGTAATGCGCAGGGCGTCATTTTGAATGTGGCAAGTTTTTCCAACAGCGACGCTTTATTCGTGATGGCGACTTTGTAACGCGTCTGCATAATAACTTGCCCTGTGCGACAACTTTCATTCAACCAGCCTCACGTCTCCATCTCACGATGTTTATTTGTCAATTTAGATTGATCATTTTGCTTAGTCATTAACTGTAATCAGTGGCAACAAAGCAAAAGATGGCAATTTTCATACGCACCGCCGTGTGAACCAGCATCTTCAAGGAGACTGGTCTATATTTTCTTTCTCGACAGAACTTAAAGGAAATCAGCCAGGATTTCTGGTCCGTCGTCGTGTTATTCGCTTCCCGAAAAAGATGTACGTAAAACCGGAAGTCCCAACGGCTGTCAGGATCGCAGATCCGAAAGCCATCCGTCCTTCTTTTTTAAATTATTACCTCTGGCAAACAAAAACAGCAGCTCGTAATGGACGCACTACCTGCCTCTGCTGGGCGGGAATCAGGAAGGGGCTGGGTCCATCGCGAACCAGTGGGACGACCGAGGGGGCGTGGCTTCTCCAGTGGGAAGTTCCCTCCACGGGATTGGCCAGGCACTCCTGACTCCTCCCCGCAGTGTCTCCAGCTGATTTATTACCCATAATTCCACCCTGGGGAGTAAGAGCTCTCCACTTGAAGAGTTTGCTCGGCGCGGAAAGCGAGAATAAGAAGAAGCAGTTTCGTCGGGGTTACAAGAGGCACGTAGAGTGTGTGTCGTGGCAGCGCATGTCTGCGGGTGTAGCCTCGTGCACGCTGGCTCTCCCAGTGGTCTCGTCGTCGTCGGTGTCCGTCCCTTCGGGCTTCTCGCTGTTGGCCAACTTGAGCCAACAGGAGCAGGAAGTCGCGGCCGCGGCCGCCCTCGCCCGATCGGCGGCTGCAGACCTCCATGGCCTGCTACCGGAACTCAATGGTGCTGACCTGGCAATGTCACTGAGTCCCAAACACCATCAGCCTCACACCACACCCTTCTCCGTCACGGACATCCTCAGCCCGATCGAGGAATCGTATCGCAAACTCGAGCTCTCCGGGTCTGGGGCTCCCCCGTCACCGTATCGCAGTAGCACGGGCGGCAGCAGCGCTGGTAGTAGCAGCGGTGGAGTAGGTGCCATAGGTGTAGTGACTAACGTTCCATCGGCACCTAGCCCCAGTGGAGGTGCCGCGGCGACC